TTGGATGTCTGTAAGCATGTTGCATCCCATTTAGCAGGATAAGGTCGCACTACTCCCTCATCTTGGAGCTCGCTTCTGTGGGCTATAGCATTGAGGCGAGCTTTCAATTCCTCGATTTTAGCTGACTGAGGATTTTGCTTATTCTCATCTTCTTCTTCGGAGGATGATTCTTCGTGATGAGTTTTTTGCTCAGTAGTCTCATTCACTCTTTGTTTCCCCTTCGATACGGATGATCCTCCTTTCCGGGAGGGTTCCGACCGAGGTTGTGACTCAGCTTTCTGGAAATTGGCTCTATTTGCAATGATCTGAGCCATCATATCTCGAAGTTGATTGATGGTTTCCTGCTGTGCTTAGAGCATGGCCTCCTGCTCAGCAACCCTTTTTAAAAGATCTTCATAATTTTCTGCCATGTGGGCGAAGCTCTCATGCCCAACGAAAGAGCTTGATGATTGTGACTCCGAAATGGCTAAGTGTTCATCCTCGGAATTGGTTCATCTAGCTAATCTTTGATAGTTAACCGGAGGAATGGCTCCCGTTTAAGTCCGAATATGTTGATAAATTCCATCGGACCTATTCAGGAGGTCTTTTAAGCCAGGAGACTGATCTTTCTCTGACTCATCGGAGCTAGGAACTAATGATCTCCCTCTGTCGACCATGTTAGAAGTGACTCTAAGGTATTCATCCTCCAAAGTCTTCTTCGTGTGAGAACGTCGTCGGTTATTGAGCAAAATGATGTTCGTAGGTCGGTTGAACATCGACAAATTGACTGCGCATGAGCAACACTGGCTTCTCGAGAGAATCGCAGAAATCAGTCATTTGTATTAGCAAGAACAAGCAACTTGTTGTATCGGTCTTCCTCCCGATATGAACTCTCTCAAATCTGTTGCAAAAACTCGAGAAGAGTTACTCGCTGATCGCGAGGTTTGAATTAGAACCCCCAGTCTATGATTGGACGGGACTAGCTCCTGATGAACATGGATCTTCTTGAAATTCATTGAATCCATGGACTTCTTATATCCACCCCTCAATCTACCCGCGCTACGCAGAAACTCCACGATATACACCACGTTCTGTATTGGATTTCGTTACCCGAACGCATGCCTGAGCTCTAGGTTTTGCTGGTGAAACGTAGTCCTGAGGTCTGCGTTTTCCTGATGAAACGCAGTCTTGAGATCCGCGTTTTGGTTCTGGAACGCACTCCTGAGAGTTGCGTTTTGGTTCTGAAACACACTCCTGAGAGTTGCGTTCAGTTTGTGGAACGCGCCCCTAAGGCTACATTTTGATTGTACAACGCGCCACTGAGGGCTGCGTTTGGCATAAGATGAGCTCACTTCTTCGGAGGAGGGACTGTTCGAGCAATCTTGGCTAAAGGAGAGGACTTCCTTCGACATAGGAGCAACAATTGGAGCTTTAGTCTCCTTAAAGATTTTGCGGATCTTGCGCATAGCCTTAGGGCTAAGGGATCCGAATGAGAGTAACTTCTCATGCTTGGCTTGATCGAACTCGATGATCAGAGTTTCAACGGTCGTTCCAGCAAGCTTGATGTCGGATTGCACCACTTCTTCCTCGGTGAAAAAGCTAGTCCCCAGCGAAGTCGTAATCTTTTGTTTGGTGGGAAAATTCAAAGAATAATTCCGAGAACCATATTTGGTTTTATTCTCTCTAACTGATTTAGAAAAAGAATGATTTACAATTCTCTCAAAGTAATCTCTCTCTAACAAGCTTAAAAAAAGAAATTACAAAATATTCTCAATCGGAATACCAATTTACAAAAGAGAAGAAGATCGATAGAGATCCTCTCATTTGTTTAAGTATGGGTTCTTCACAGTAGCGATGAGATGCCTCCCTCGATGTTCGTATCGAGTTTGTTTCTCGTTGACGATCCGACCACCTTGTTTTGTAGAACGTGGTTGATTCCTCTGGATTAACGTTAAGGAGAACTTGTGTGGTAAGTTTGAAACTCTTGACGAGTTGACAACTCAGAGCGAGTTTAAACTCTTAAAAAGAGTTGATTTGAACCGAAAATCGGTTAATAAGCCAAGGATGAAAGCTCTAAGGACTGCTCCGCAAGATGAATGCCGATCTTTCAATCTTTTTGGTGCCGAAAGAGGATAAAATGGTGATCCCCTTTGTTGATCTCTAGATCCGAAAATACTCAAAGATCCAAAGATCGTAAAAAGCCAGCCCCTAACTCAGTTGAGTTTTCTGTGATTTATAAGGGATTAAGGGGTGTAACCTCCCCCTTAAATCTCTCTTTAATGAGGATTTAATGAGGTGTAACCGCCCCCCATAAATCTCTCCATGCTAGGGTGATGATCCCCTCAAATCGTGGGGAGAAAATGGTTTGAGGAACCGTTCAACTCGTTTTTGAACGAGTCAAACGCTGAAAACGGCGTTCTGGGCCCGAACTCTGCGTTTTAGACCTGAAACACAGAGTTGGGTATTTCCATTTGGCTCAGAATGCAGTGGCCGCACCGCTTTAAGAATCTGAGATGCAGGAATGAACTCTACGTTTGGATCTGGAACGCAGAGTTAGGTTCTGCGTTTTGGGCTGAAAACGCAGCAATGAAGCCTGCGTTTTGATGTTGCAACGCAGGAAAGACCTCTGCGTTTTGATGTTGAAACACAGGTCTGACCTCTGCGTTTTGATGTGAAGAGACCATTAATTTGTGATATCTTTTACTAGAGCATTACAAAAATCATCATCTTGTAATCTTCTTCTTGGCTCCTTAAAAATATGAGAGTCGTCAGATTGTAACTCCCGATGCATCTTGTAATCTTCTTCTTGGCTCCTTAAAAATATGAGAGTCGTCAGATTGTAACTCCCGATGTTGATTGTGAAGGCTTCGTCAGATTGTAACTCCCGATGTTGATTGTGAAGGCTGTTGATTAGAGCTTTCATCAGTTGTTGCGAATATCGTCAGATTGTAACCTTCATCGATTTACGTGAAAGTCTTCATATTGTAGCCTTCTGGAAACCATCAAATTGTAACTTTTATCATCGGTGTTTGATGGCGGATCAGCTATCTACAGTGATTTTTAGACAACCTACAGGTCTTCCGCCATTTTTGGGCTACAAGACCTTAGTCTATCAACTTGGTCTAAACTGAAAACTTTGGCTCATACCACCATTACTGATGTTCAATAGACATTAAATTGTCATTAAACACAATAATCGATCCCTTGAATTTTCACACTAAAAGGAACCAAAATCCTTTCCAATTTATGTGCCATATTAATGACTGTGATCTATGAATTATTATCTTGGTAGTATGCAAGCAACACTATAGATTTGGCGAAGGAATTGGTTTAGAACATGTTTTGGAAGCAGGAATTGGGTTAGCGATGTGCGGTCGACCGCGGTGCAAGGTCGGTCGACCGTATTCGTGCACGGACACTGGGCTTGATTCAGGTCTTGGTGTGGTCGACCGCTAGACCATGTAATCCAAACCCGTGAGTCTGGAGTTGGGTGCGGTCGACTGTCGCGGTCGACCGCCAAAGCCTGCAGCTGTTTTTTTGGGCTCTGTCATTTGTCGTGATCGACCGCATATCGGGTCAGACTCAAATTTGCAGTTTCCTATTCTCAATTTGTTTGGTGTTTGGTATATATACCAACACATTTTAGGGTTTCTGGGGAGCTGTTGAGGGGATATTTGGAGCACAAAAAAGAGGTATTTTCTAGAGCTATTGATTAGGGTTTTGTTTGAGAGACTAAGAGATTTGTTGGTGAGATTAATTGGTGAGTTTGAGTGATTTGTAATCTCAGTTGTACTCTTCTTCTCTATTAGTAAAAACATCATTCCCTTCTTGCCACGTGGACATAGGCAACTTGTCGAACCACGTAAAATTCGTTTGTTTGTGTTATGCCGTTATTTTGGATTATTTGACCTTCTCTCTCGGCGTTTGGTTTGGTTCGGTTCCTCGAAGCACAACAAGTGGTATCAGAGCTCGGGCTACACTTGGCTAATTGGAGGAGTAGATCGCTGTGGAAGTTCGTCCAGGGCTTCGATTGGTGATAAATGTGAGATTTTTACTATTATAGATCTTGTCTACCGTCGTATGGGGGTGAGATCTTTCGGAGGCTCTTGTTAGGGTTTCAGTTGAAGGTAAAAATCTCTCTTTTTAGTTTGATCTATTCTTCATTTGTTCCACATTAGTTTGGTGGTGCTTTGAAAAAAGATGACCGAAAAAGAATGAGTTGTGGAAAGTACTTCTAGTAGTTGAGCCCTACGCGATCAGCAAACTGTATGCACAAATCTGCACTTGGTTGATGAGTCATCAACATCTTCTAGTGGATGAGTCGGATAAGCCAGTGAGTAAACTGATTTCGCTCACTCGTCTTCTTCTACTATTAACAGGTATCCATATAGCGCATGCTCCGGGCTCTGCTGGCATCAAGTTTAAGCGAGACCGTTTGACAAGTGCAGTAAGGATCCAACGAGTTGCTCTTTCTTCACGTGTTTTGATTCCTTTATGGCACCGCTCCCTGGCAGCCCAGTTTTATAATAGAAAAAGAACAAACAACCAGGTAATGGGGGTCTTTATAAACATTTAGGATATACAAACACAACCGAGGGTATAAAAGTGCAAAGCAGGGGAAACTAAAGGAAGTTAAGTGCAACTAAGCCTTTATAGAACTTAGTTGGCCATTTAGGCTAGTGCATTAGTCCGAAGTAGTTCAGGTTCATTCATTCCTACTGCATCAATCTAAAGTAATCGCTTGGACTCCGAGTAAAGCTCATAGCACTATAAATATGATGCCATGGGAGACCAGTGATACCAATACACTGACTCGCTTTACCGAGTCCAGTAACTAAACGATCAACAAGCATTAAGTTTGCTGACCTCGTAGGACTCTAGGCTGCAGCCAAGGGCTCTAACTTCGTATTCTCATCGCTGTCAATTAGAGCTGCGCTCAGCCTGGCTGCAGTGGGATCAAAAGGGTCAGACTCTTGACCGTTTCCTCTCTTTCCACGGTTCAACCCCAGTCAAGGATCTCAATGTTACAACAGTTAAAACTACTGGAATCAGCTCGTGCAACTGGTTCTAATGATTCTAGTGAAGATGACGAATGTGATTCAAGCGAAGATGACGACCGTGCATCCATCTTATCATTGGCGAACGGTTTATGGGTTAACCGATCTTTGGATCTGAAGCCATCGTTCCAGGAGACTGCTGCCACCACCAACAATGCTGTGGCCAAATTTATTGACTTCAAGCACACAAGGTAATAATCAAAATGTCTTTTTGACAAAAAAAATTTTTGCATATAGCTCCCTTGGATCATGCGTATTTATAGAATTACCCCAAAATCTATGTATTTGCAACACTACCCAAATCATCAAATCAACATAGGCTGATTTATAACTGCAATGTAAAAGTATCAACAAAATAGTCAAATTTTTATTCACCACATCCAAGACAATTTGTTATGGGGAATTTTTTTCTCCCCAACAGTTGATGATCTAAGGGGCCACTTCGCAAATACGCATGATGTAAAGGGGGTGTGCGTGCGTGCGTGCATATACAAAAATCCTATCTTTGATCCCTGGAATTCTTATACTTTTCAAATTAACCATAGTTGTTGCATCTTGCGTATTTTTGTTGTCTTTCGATCAACGTAGCCTACAAAAGCAGCTCAAGTGAATCTCTAGGTCAAAAACAAAATAAACAAGCTGATCAAGGGACCCGGCTGATGCTGTGACCTCTAATACAAGACTCATCTTCGCTAATACTCTCTACTTCGAAGGGGCATGGACCAAGAAGTTCGACTGGTCTATAACCAAGAATGGATCATTTTATCTCCTTAATGGAAGAAAAATAAAAGTACCCTTTATGACAATCGACGATGATCAATACATTTCCTCTTTTGAAGGCTTCAAAGTCCCCAATTTGCCGTATGAACCAAATCAACTGGGAGAGCCTTCCATGTTGACCTTCCTTCCTAACAGTAGACATGGGCTTAGCAATGTCATACAAAAGGCTGTATCAACTCCTGATCTTTTTCAATAATCATGTTCCTAGAACGACCGTCAAGATTGGCAAGTTCATGATTCCGAAATTCAAAACTTCATCTGGATTTAACTTTCTGAAAGCTTTACAGGAACTGGAGTCACGAATTCCTTTTACTGAGGGTGTAGATTTCACAGAAATGGTGTCATCCTCAGATACCAATAATAAGCTTCAGATTTCAAGCGTGCAGCATAAACCTACTATCAAAGTAGGAGAAGAAGGGACCGAAGCATCCGCTGCAGCTTACTGAAAAGCATCATATTTGTGTTATAGATCTCCTACAAATTTTGTTGCAGATCATCCTTTCATGTTTGCCATTAGAGAAGATAAGACCGGTGCTCTGCTATTCGTAGGGCATGTGGCGAATCCAATGGAGAAGGAAGCATCAATGTTTACTAAAGAATAAAAGAGTGTGTGCCAATAAAGCAAAGGATTGATGTACTATTTTATCTGAATTAGAGCATGTATTTCTATCCTCACCTGCTGCAAGCAAAACCATCTTGAAGGTGTATCTATGTGTGTCTGTGTTTGTGTGGATATGCATATATGAAAAAATGGATACGAAATGACAAACTTATTTGTTTAATGACCCGCGAAGAAATTATCCAGTAGTGAGAGCCAACCTGTTAGTCGCATGCAAGTATATGGATCACATCACTCACATTTCTCAATGTTATTTTTTTGCCAAATGAGATGACAGCTCAAATCCATTATATATCTGTCATGAATGTTTGACTTTTGATCAAATCTGTTAAGTAACATTGGAGTATATCAATCTTATCACTCACATTTCTTGATGTATTATTTTTTGCAATGAAATAACAGCTCAAATCCATTATATAGATGTTGTCGATATTCGTAAAGCTTGACCTGACTAATTTTGCAAATCTTCTAGTCGAAGGAGAATTGCATTCAAGGTTGGACTTGGAAAAACTTGAACTTGCTACCATCCAAATCATACATCTACTTGAGCACAAATGCATGCTTCTCAAGTAAAAAAAGAAGCTCAAAAGAGATCAGGAAAGTAAATTTTCAAACAAAAGCCATAAACTAATGATTCATTTCCAGTACCAAGACAGTGAGATCACAGGGGATAAGTTCTTACAAAGTAGCAGTCATGATGAGAGGTGGACATATTAAGGTTCTTCATATGTCATGATGAGAGGTGGACATATTAAAGTTCTTAATAGGCAGAGTGCCAAGATTTACCTTCAATTAAGAAGGGTTTTGACAATGAACTTGACGTTAAGCTTTTTGAGATCGGTATAAGATTGACCGCAGCCCACAAACATCACAGGGGCTCCACAGATGTAGACCATGGAAAGTGCGGCTCCAACCTGAAACAAAAATCACAAAGTATTTCAGGGGGATAAAATGCATATAGTCAATTCCGTGCCATTAAAATTTTGGTTGTTAAATATCAACCTTATCATCAATTGTGTCAAACTTAGTGAGCAAGATTCCATCAATCAACCTCGCATTAGGCAATGTAGAGAGATCAGCTAATTTCTGCACAACGCATGAATATTTGTCAAGCTTACTGTAACAAAGTGTTAAACAACATTTAGCATTGCACATCACTCGTCTTTTGAAGAACATTACAAGCAGGCATCCCCAAGAAACTATATTACCTGGTTAAATTTTGACAGTTGATCAACAGCATCATTTCCGACCAATGCCTCTCCAACAAAGAGAACCAAATCTGGGTTGTTTAGATTTATCAGCTTTGACAGGGCTCGCATCAGTGGCTCATTATCCTGAGATTTAACAGAAGATCATATATGGCATAAGTACAACAGTTCAGGGCTGAAAGATAAAGGTCAACCTTAAGCAAATTCAAGCTGAAGGAAGATCAAAAATTTCTTACCTGCATCCTCCCAGCGGTATCAACAAGAACAACATCTGAATTATTACGACTAGCCTCTTGAATAGCCTCCTTCGCTACAATTGCAGGATCTTTTTCGTAGCCCTTCTCAAATATAGGTATCTGGAAGCATATTCTTAGTCATTGATTCAGATCGTGTCCAGCAAGCAATACTATTTAGAAATGATATTGTATGCATCTAAAGACCCATTTGCATATGTGGTATCAGTTCATTAATTCACCTCACACCAGAAAAACAAAGTAACATATGTAAGGTCCTTTTCGCCCAGAGTTCCAATTGTATATCAATGTACCATCACTATTGCCTAAAAGGCTAAAACCTTCTCCCATCACAAGTCAAGGAACAGTTCAAGGCCCAGATAGATATAAAAAGAAATAAAACCAAGTTTCTACAATTTCCTGTGAACATGGCATCAGTAGCAGTGTCCAGAATATAAATATGTCAGTCAAGGAACCAAATATATGAAAAAGTGTCTCCTTCAATATTAAGAAATAAGAACCAACGACTACAAGAAAAAACATGTTTTGTGTGCATATTTGTTGAATATATGAGATCATGAGGGAGTATATATAATTTCTTTCCTACGGAAAAAATGAGGAGATTATTAGGCAAATCAGAAGTATTTACGAACATCTACCATATATACTGGGCAGAATTTGAGGGCCTTTGTTAACCTATAGCAAAATAGGTTGACACAGTCACACGTCACAAGTGAAATGCTGTTGCTAGGTAACGAGCGGAAGATCACTGTCTAAGATCATGGGTCCAAGACTAGACTATGGATCTTTTCAGGAAAAGGGAAAACAATTGGACCCAAAATTAAGGCCTTCCATACGACATAGAACTTTCCCTATTGTTTCACATTAATGAACTCCAAATGTATGTCATATGTCAATGCAGCAAACATATACAAGATATGGAATGTTCCAATTGGTATTTTTGGAACAGTAAAGGACGTCTCCAGCAATAATCTGGGACAGCACTATATGTGTTCAACACCAGTAACTCAAGCAAATATACCAGGTCATTAAAAAGAATGCTATGAAAATTTGAAGGGTTGATATAGCATGAAGAAGGGTGATATAGCATGAAGAAGGGATCATATACCTGGAGTCTACGAGCATGTGTCCTCAGCTGCTCAACAGCACCAGACCTGAAGGTATCACATGCTGCCATCATTACACTAACATTATGCTGTAGCAGCCAGTATGCGACCTGTAAATCAGAGAAATTAATTAGATATTTAGAAACACTGGTGCACCAATAAAATCAAAAACTGTAAAGGGCAAGAAAATTAACCTTCGCAAGATTTGTGGACTTCCCAACTCCATTAACACCAACAAAAACAATAACATATGGTTTCCCCTGTTCCTTAGCAGCATGCACATCTCTCAAAATATCAATGGATCGCCTTGGAGTTAAGATACGAAGAAGGGCCTCTTCCATTGCCGTCTGTGCTTATAACCAACTTTAGAATATGACATTCTAATTATAAGTCTTTAACTCTAGTAAACAAAGTTGAAGACAACAAGTTATCTGGGTAAAACAAAATAACAAACCTGGACAGTCGAAGAGACTCTCGTGAATGATCCCAACTTCTTCCCTTCAAGACTAGCGGCTACTGATTCACAAAGCTTCTCAGCTATTTCCTCTGCCTGCAAATGGCAGGACGATACATCACAAGAAGAAACCCAAATACAATGATTTGAATATGACAGGAAAGAATGTCATTATAACCGGAAATCACATAGATTGATAGTTTCAACGATTGCCATTTTTATTTAACAGAAATCTCACTAACCGCTTATATAGTTTTAAGTAGTCTGGAATAAGAGTTTTTTTTCATTTCTTTTCTTTCATTTTTCCCTCTTCTTTTCTTTGTCATTTCCTTCTTCCTTTTTCTTCTTTTTTGCCACATCGCCCCCCCTCCCCCCTTTTCTAGCAGCATTTCACCAATATATAACAGGCTCGTTAAGATTTACTCTTATAATCCAAAAAAGGAAATCTCCAGAAGTGTATACATGAATGATAAGGTAAAAATGTGACAACACTGATTACTAGGGAAATGTTTCCCCAAATCATAGTCAAACTGGTGATTTATGTGAGACCTTTATATTGAAAAGAATATGGATAAACTCCAACACTGTAAAATGAGCATAACAGATGAGGAGAGCTACATACCACATTTTTAGTCATCAACCTATCCTTGAGAGCCTTCAGTGCTGGTTTCAAGTTCGACTTCTCCAAGACAGAGTTTCCTGAAATGCTGAGATCAAGAGAACACAAAATATAACCAACAATACAAACCCAAAATCGATAAATTCAATTGGAGTACATGACAACGGACATAGTTATGAAATATATAATACAGGAGAATTAAAATACAAATATCACCATGCATAAGCCGAAATGGCCAAGGTATAATACATAGAAAGTATTAATTGATATCACATCTAGTTAGAAGTTATTAGGCAACTGAACCCAATAACAGGTTCAACAAGTAAACTGCAAAAGCTTATCATTTTATTAATACTTATTTTCCTTTTGAAGAGTCTATAGGCAGTTATCCAAGTTTCTCATGACTCACATGAATATCCATTCCCCAGATTCATTATGAAAGTATGATGTTAAGGTGTAAGCTAATGCTTCAAGAAAAAGGTTATTAGCACTTTGGTACCATAAAGTTCACAACCTTTTTTAACTTCGATATCTCAAAGTTCGAATCTGACAATTTAATGCCCCAAATTTTACACCTTTTTTCCCCAACACTTTGATACCCCAAAGTTTACATATTTTTAACTTTGATCCACAAAGTTGATACACATTTATTAACTTTGATACCCTAAACTTTGGGTATCAACGTGTCAAAAACAAAACTTTAGTGGGCATTATGACAGGCTTGTCTTGAAGAACAAAACTTTGTTCTATAAAGTTTGATGCAGCCACAGTCACTGTCATCAATGTAATATAGGGGATGATGAACGACCCATAAAAAATACTAAAAAATAAACACTGAATGAGAAACAAATAAAATTATGGGTTCTCCTGGTTTTAGCTCCACAACCATGTATAGTTTGAAAGGTTTTTCATATTAAAAAAATTCTCTAATTTTTTGAAGTGACACCAGACAGGACCTGTTCAGTGTGACTTAGGGCCAGTTTAGTATTGTTGGAGCCTATGATTGTTGCTTATAAAAGCATCTTATAAAAGTAACTTATATAAGCTGTTGAAAATAGCTGCATGGTAATCAAATATAAAATTCAGCTTAAAAGGCACTTAATGTGTTTGTTAGAACTGTGCTTGATGATCATTATTAAAAGATAAAAGGAATATATGGTATATTAACTAAACAAAATCAGAAGCTACTTTTAAAAGCATCCTCATATTGCTTCTAAAAAGATCCCCTTAAAAAGCAGAAGCAATTTCAATAAGCATGCCAAAAAATTTCACTAAACACCATTATTGGCTGCTTATTGAAAAAATAAGCAGAATCACCCTACAAAAAACAGTGCCAAACTTACCCTAACAAAATGGGGATTTATTTGATAATATCATATTTTTGAGACCTATCTCAAATAGCCTTTTATTCCCAGGACCAATATCACAAAAGCCCAAGAAATCAAATTAATCAAAGACGGTAGGAAATTCATAGTACCAAAAGAATAACTAGCTAATCAGTAATCATATGCGGAAAAAGGTATATGCGAAAGAAAATGAAGTTATAGTGTTATACCTCTGAAACATTGACGAAAACCAGCCCTTCTTCTTTGCACTAGGCTTAGCACTCTCCATTTCCTCATCATCCTCGTCCTCGCTACTCAGAATTTCCTCCTTATCCATCATACTCTCACCCTCATCAACTGCCACAACCCCTCGAACCTCATCCCCTCCCTCACCAACAGGATCCGTAAAATCCAGCTTGGCATCCTCCTCCTTCGCGTCATCCCAAACCCTATTCTTCTTCACAATCTTTTTCTCTTCCCCTCTCACACCCTTATTAGTGTTAGTGTTAGCATCAGTCTTCTTCCCTCCTTTCGCTCGCAATTTCTGTAACTTATGTACATCGAAAGCCCCCTCATCGGGGTTCCCATTCTCTTTACCTTTAACAACAACATTGGGAAGCGATCGGGATTCTTTAACCCCATTATTCTCCTTCCCATTTGCTTTACCATTAGCTAACCATTTTCCATTACTCTCATCTCCATCTCCATCTCCATCATCGCCGCGAGACTTACCATCATTATTACCACTTTTGCCACTCTTCCTCTTGTTCATCAACGACCCAGTCCCCCAAGCCTTCTTCCCTAAATTGGAAGGATTCTTTCCAGACTGTTTCAATTTCTTCATCTCCTCCGCCCTCGCCTCCGCCTCCTTCTGAAGCTGCCGAAAGATCTCATCGAACTCGTCGTAGCTAGTCCTCTTCGGATCGTAGATCTGCTCGAATTCACGACCGACGAAGACGAGGCCGAGATCGTTGTGAAAGGTCCATTTCAGGGTGTAGGCCCCACCGCCGCCGCCGGCGTCGTAGTTGAAGGAGGTCTCGGCGGATCGCTCCTCGAGGAGGCAGGATTTGATTAGGGTTTCGATCGGAGATCCCTTGAGAGCGTTGCTTAGTTGTTTGTACCAGAGAATCAGGCCGCCTCTTGAAAGGATCAGAAGCTGCTCCAACATCTTTTATTTTTCCTTGGAAAAGTTGAAATCTTGATTGAAATTAAGGTGAATTCAGAGATTTGTACCCTGCAGAACTTTTCTATTTTAAACCTATTGTATAATTTATTCTTTAAAATCGACCCTATTTTACAAAAAATTGATCATTTTCTCGTCACGTCAGTACCGTAACAAGAATCGTGGGAAGAAACTGAGTTAATTTTTTAATATATTTCATATATAGTCGTGGTTGGCAACCCCGACTATGAACAAATTTTCAAAACAGACCATTTTGGGTTTTTATTTGCAAAAAACGACCTATTTCGAAAAAAATTACAAAAACCGACCTGTTTTCAGCCCAGCGCTGAAAACAGGTCGGTTTTTGTTAAAAAATTTTCGAAACTTTACGAGAGTCCAACTCCCGTGAAGTTTAATGTATTTTTAAACTTCACGGGAGTTGAACTCCCGTGAAGTTTAATTTATAAATAAATCTTCACGGGAGTTCAACTCCCGTGAAGATTTATGCCCAGATGCAACGCCAGGCTGCTCTCTGGAAGTTGGGATTTCTAAAAAAGCTATACCCTCTAATTTTTGTATTCTCCCACTATTTGATTGTGATTACATGTAGAAATCTAGATTTTAGAATTTAATTGTGAATTATTTATGAATTTTGTGAAGAAATGTGAAAATTAGAGGGGAAATTATCAATAATTTTGTGAAATTTGTGAAGAATTAGTGTGGAAATTATCAATAATTTTGTGGAATTAGTGTGGAAATTTCACAATTAAGAGGGGAAATTATCAATAAATGTGAAAATTAGAGGGGAAATTATCAATAATTTTGTGAAATTTGTGAAGAATTAGTGTGGAAATTATCAATAATTTTGTGGAATTAGTGTGGAAATTATCAATAATTTTGTGAAATTAGAGGGGAAATTATCAATTAATGCGAAAAATAGTGTTACCTACATATGTATAACATAAATTAGATTTTAGAATTTAATTATGAATTATTTACGAAGGACAAATTTTCGCATTTAGAATTTAATTGTGGATTATTTACGAATTTTGTGAAGAAAAATCAAATAATTTTGTGCATTTAGAGGTGAAATTATGAAAGAAAAATCAAATAATTTTGTGCATTTAGAGGTGAAATTATGAATTAATGTGGAAATTAGAGTTACTACATAAATGTAAAAATTAGTAACAATCAATATTTATTTTGCTTTTCGTGTAATATTGATCTTGAATTTTTCACTCTTCAGAGTTAACGATGAACGATCGAATCGTAATTCTCTGTTCTTATGATGGGAAGATTAATTACCTCGAGAATAATATGCCCGTTTATGAAGGAGGCACGACGAGACCGTTGTTCATAACAAAATCGTGTACTTTCGATGAGTTGGTTAATGAATTACACAAACTTACATTAACTAACTCACGTGAGTATCACCTCAGTGTGGTTTGCAATTATCCTGTTGTGGGGAACAGAACAAGTGGCATTCAAATATCAAGTGACTACGATATGGGTCTCATTCATGTCTTACACGACGAGAAGCGTTCGGTCGAATTATTCATTGAAAAACATCAGAGGGATTTGGGCAAATCGTTGAACTCCCAAGGAATGTATTCCCGCATGTTGGAGGATTCTGAAGTTGATTCTGTAGGCTTTTTATCTCCTCAACAAGATGAATGTTGGACACAATCACAATACATGAGCGGTCCTTCGTTCGTGGGCACTTCGAATGCTTTCGATACTAACACGGGAATTCAAGAAGATAATGCAAGTGTTGAATCCGAGAATGATGATGAAGAGGAGGGATTACAAATTAATAGCATGACCTTGATAGATCGTGATGACGGGGAAAACCAACACATCGACGGATGTTATGTTAATAATGAGTATGTCGTCTTAGAGGATCCGCCGCCCGATGAACTTCAAGGAGATGAATGGATTGATAACTCTGTGATGGAAAGTGTTCCTATTGGCACTAATAGTGGTGTTGATACACAGGCCGAGGACTTCTCATTCATGAAGGGAGATCTTTACGAGAGTAAGGAGAAATCGATCCATGCTATTCGCACGTATTCCATTACAAAAAATGTGAAGTTCAGGGCAACAAAAAATAATACTACAAGCTATAATGTGGTTTGTTTCTATCGCAAAGATGATGATGTCGAAGATAATAGTGGACACCACGACGGCAATGCGAGGTGTCCGTGGAAGCTTAATTCACGCTCTGGTGTAAGAGTAGGCGGGCAATTCAAAATCACGGCATACAATGGACTCCACACTTGTAGCAATCCTCGATTAGAGATGAATAACAAGAATGCGTCCTCTTCTTTTATATATCGATTGATTTTACCGCATCTGAGGGAGGATCTTGATCTAAGGCCGAAAGATATCCGTCTTTTAGTGCATAAAGCCACCAACTTGGATGTATCATATCACAAGTGTTGGAATGCTAGGAGGAAGGCGATGATAAAAATATTCGGGGATTGGGATAAATCGTATGAGATCTTACCTCATTATCTTGAAGCACTCAAAAGAGAAAATCCGGGGATTGTCTATGAAGTATCTTCGGACCCGGTTGATGGCGGAGAAAGGCGGTTCACCGGTGTATTTTGGGCATTTGGGCCCTATATTGAGGGGTTTCGATATTGTCGTCCTCTTCTTAGCATTGATGGAACCCACTTATATGGTAAATACAAAGGTGTTTTGCTTGTTGCAACCGGAGTTGACGCGGATGGCGGGTTGTTTCCTTTAGCATTTGCTATGGTTGATGTTGAAAACACAGAGAATTAGGCTTGGTTTTTTGCATGCATTAGATATCATATCCCTAGTGTGGGGACGCGGGCGATTACATTCATATCCGATAGGATGAAAGGAATTCCAAGAGCACTCCAACGACATTTCCCGCCACCACATGCACATCACTATTGGAGACAACTTCAAGAAGAAGTATGGTAATGCTCAGGTTCAAGACTTACTTTGGCAAGCCGGTTGTGCAACAGAAAAATATGTTTATGAACAAATACGAGAGAGGATTAAGTTCATTTCACGAGCTGCACATGATTGGATCGAAACTAGTTTGGGTCCAAACAATATTGATAAGTGGACTTTATGTGAGGATGGTGGCAAACGGTTCTGTATGATGACTACGAACGCGTCTGAGAGCTTCAATGGTGTGCTCAGGGGAGCACGCGGCATGCCAATACAGGCACTAGTTGCTAAAACTTTTTACAGGCTTAATAAATTCTTTCTACGACGTCGAGAACTTGGTGAAAATATCCGCTCAGAGCTAACACCAAAGGTTGATGAAATGCTAGAGGCTCGGATTGTACAAGCTCGGTCCTTTCAGGTCGTACGATACAGTTTTAATGAATGGGAGGTTATCGAGGGAATAACCCATAGAGAAAGTCGCTCTTACAAAGTCAATATGTTGGTAGATCATACTAGTACATGCACTTGCAATGTACCTCAACTACAATGTATTCCTTATTCACATGTTGTAGCAGCTTGCTCCGATCTACAGGGTGGTGCTCGAATTTCACATTATGAATTTGTCGCAGCTTGGTATTCTTCATACAACTATCAACAAACGTACAAAGAGTGTTTTCGTCCACCGTACGATAGTCGACATTGGACACAAGACGGGCCACGGATATTACCTCCCTTGTATAAAAGATCGGCGGGGGCGCCCTCGTACCGTGCGTATTAGAAATAGTATGGATGATGGACGTGAAGGAGCTAGGAGGAGAAATAAGTGTAGTAGATGTGATCAGCCGGGTCACAACAAAAATAGGTGTCTGGTTAGTATTAGGCGTTGATTTGTATTATGTAGCGTTTTGCACTATGTCAGATCCTGTATGACAATCGTATGATACTCGTATTCGTATTTGTAATATGTTCTGTATGACTTGCGTATTCGTATTTGTAATATGTTCTCGATCAGGCTGTGTTCATTTCATACATGCATTTGTATTATGTAGCGTCTCATATTTCTGTATATATGCTCATATTTTAATCACGGGTCTTTTCGTTATGGATCCGGGACCTTCATCTCCCGACGTTTTGTACCTTCAGGCGAGTCATTGTTCAGACCATATTAGTTCGGGACAGGTAATACGATTAAATTTTATATATATTTCTTCGATTTATTAAATTATGCATATACTTAAACATTTTTTGTTTTATGTGCAGCCCGTACCAGACATCACGATGGTCAAGCATTCCCAAAGTCATTCTGCTTGGGTCATTGAGGATGAGAGGGTACTAGCTCTGATCGCTCAGGCCGGATTTCGGGAGTGTTCGACGATTCGATATATTAGGCTTGATTGGCCGCTCATCACTACACTTATTGAGAGGTGGAGGCCAGAGACCAACACCTTTCACATGCATATAGGGGAGTGCACCATCACCTTACAGGACGTGGCCGTCATACTTGGACTCCGGATCGATGGACCGGCAGTTACAGGCACCGATGATCATAGTTGGCCGGAGGTATGTGCTAGGCTTCTTGGTCAGGTTCCCGACTTGAGGAGTGGTACGATGAAGCTATCGTGGCTTCGTCAGACATTTCAGAGCGATATACCAGAGGATGCCCCTATTGAGACGCTCCAGTTTCATGCTCGTGCGTACATATTGCACATGATAGGGTGCGTACTATTTCCTGATGCGAGCAAGACACTCGTACATGCACGATGACTACCACTCATGGAGGATTTCGGTGTATGCGGCGCACTATCGTGAGGCAGTGCGGTGTTGGCATACTTATATCGAGAATTGGATAGGGTATCCCTGATGCAGAATAAAGAATTCTAGGGATGTTGTACGTTGATACAGATTTGGTCATGGGAGCGCATTCATATTGAACGACCCATTTTACTTATGCACCGTGACCTAGAGGGGTAGTATCCTTTGGCATACAAGTATAACTGTACACACATATTTCATTCGTAATGAATTTGTACTTATATATTCTCTATTCTGCATATAGGTATAATGTGCGATACGTTCAGTACAAATCAGCGACGCATCACCGTTAGTTTTATCGAAATGAGCTTGATGTCCTCCAACACGAATAGGTAAAT